GTTTTTTTTTTTTTTTTTTTTTTTTTTTTTTTTTTTTTCTGCACACACATGCCCCATCTATGGTGGAAGCAGTCCGATTCCACAGAGAAAAAGAGTGGTGGCTGCCTTTTTTTTTTTTTTTTTTTCCACAAAAACAAAGCCCCCCATCTATTTTTGGGGGGGGCCAGCAGTCCGGTTGCTTATCACCGGCTAGGTATGCCGCCTTCATTAAGCCCCGGCCGTCTAGAGAGTTCTAGTTGAGAAGAGGTGCAAAGATGAGCGACTGGGTGGCCCTCCTCAAGGATGACCCAGGGAAAGTGGGCAGTGTGGTGGATAGTACTGGATAACCCCGCTGATGAGAAACCTTTAATTGACATATTTATTCTTGCGACGGACTAATAAGTTAGTATAACAGACTCATCCGGGGCACTCCAGCAGAGGTCCGGTGGATCCACAAATCTCAGCCTGGGGTCTATAGAATCCGAGTGCTGCGGGATCAGGAGCAATGGGTAGCATACCCACACCAGCCTGAGACCCGCTGGAGAAGTTAGCGTTCGACCCCGAGATGTGGGACTGAACCACCTCCCATCACAAGGGCAAGGCATCAACCCGCCGCTTGCACACAATGCAGGTCAAATCCGCATATAGAATCGATGCGCCCAAGGGTGAACCTGAATGGGGGAAAGCGGCCACCAGTAAAATGAGACTCGGAACCAGAAACAAATATTTTTTTTCAAAAAAAAAAAAAAAAAAAAAGTGGTATAAACTCCAGACTCTAGAGTAGATTTCCTAAAGGTTTCCAGATTCGTCTGGCTTTGTATTTTGGAAGCATGAACAGCATATTGAAATACAGTTGTACTTGATTCTGTTGGTGATATCGGAATGTAATCACCGAAGGTGGATGCGGAGCTTAAACGAGGGAAAGGACTCCCTGAGACTGGTGAAGTAGTTTGATGAGGAGGGAGATGGTCCCGGCTTCTCCATACCCCTACCATGGCGTAAACGCTGCAGTGGAGGCTACCCAGCCCGGAATGTGCCAGGCTGAGAGATGATCAAACATTTTTTGTCCATGCAATGCCCGACTTGGAGTTAAGTGTGGGTATGGAGAAGGTGGGACCGTATCTGGAGAGAGCTCGGCACAGAACTACAACGGCTGTGGGACTGGGGAGCAAAATCTTGGGCGGATGCGGGCAGCCGAACCAGGCCAGTTCGTTTGCCCTCAACGTGTGATCTGGGCAGGAAGGCGGTTCTCTGCTATGTATCGCGGGTCGAACTCGGCGGGCGAGGACCCCCACTTTACGGCCCTGGGTAACGATGAATGATCCTGAAATTAGGGCTCGTGGTCAAATTTTGTGTTTTTTTGGAATTTTTGTTTTTGCCTGTTTTTGTTTTGGGACAAGCTTGCTGTGTGTCAAATTTGGTGTCATTTGGGTTATTAGAATTTGAGCTGTTAATCATCCTGAAAATCCTGAAATTTTGATGAAGTTGTTTTTTGGCAAAATTGCCTGAAAATGCACTTTTGAGTTGCTGTTTTATGTGTTTTTATTTTTTATTTTTTGGTATTTTTTTTTAATAATGTGTTAGTAAGAAGTGCACTCTATAGATTGGTGTGAAGTTTGCTTGGGATGGCCTTATGGTTTTCGTATAAATTGAGGTGAAAAATGGGGGGTCGGTTAACCTTTTCTCCTCCGGCCGCGGTTGGGTGCGGCCGTGACTTTCAGGAATTTTTTCGGGGTTAAAAAGATTCTCAAAAAAATAATAAAAAAGTTGAAAAAAACGGATGTGTGTGTGTTTTTTGAGAACTACATTGCGCTTTTTTTTTTTTTTTTTTTTT